TGTTCACTGATGACATAGCATTAATCACTAAAACTGAGCAAGAAGCTACTGGGATTATTTCACTGTTAGAGAAGAAATTTAAAATCAAACATTTAGGTGAGATTAAACAGTATCTTGGTTTGAAAATAGGTAAAACTAAGGGAGGCTACAAAATCTCACAGGCAGATAAAATTAACCAGTTACTGAAGAACTTTAAAATGGAACTTTGTAAACCGGCTAAGACACCAATGAGCTGGGAGTTTATCCATAGTACTGTGCAAAGTCATTCTGCTTGAATTGCTGTGAGTCTTGCAACTATTCGCAAACTCCGTTTACTGAACTTTGTTTATGATACTGGTAAAGAAAAGGATTTCGTTTTTGGATTATCCCTGGACTGATTATTTTGAATACTAGCTGCTTTAACTGCGTATGATTTGGACTGTTTGTTGGACTTTGTTTAACCATTTACAGAAAGTAAAACTTACATTTTACTATTCAGTGTATCTGTGTGCTGGTTGCAAGTTATTCATCACAACTCTCATTATGTTTCCCTGAGTGCACTCATTCTCCTAACGGGGAATACCTCAACAGAGGTAACAAACTCAGGGGAGGAAATTTTGAGATTTAAGCAACAAAGAAAGGAAATTCAGAGAAAGGTTTTTGAGAGGACAGGGGCAAAATTAGATAAATGGGAAGAGAAGCAGAAAAAAGAGGAAGAGAGAGCAAGAGAAAAGGTCAAAAAATGATAGAAAATGGGAGGCAAAGTAAGAAAAGATTAATACTGCAAGGAGAGCAAGAGACGATGGTTAGAGAGAGAAAGGATAGATATTCCACATTAAGAGGTGTTATAGGAGTTAAGATATATAGTGATTAATTTTGATAAAATGGGGAAAATGGGGACTCAATACTTATTACTAAAGACATGTAAAATAGTTAAAGAAATATAAGGTTGAATATTTTAATTGGAATAAATATGAAATTAAATATTTATTATAAGATTATTATTAAAGATATGTAATTGCTAATGGGATATATATGAATTATGTGGGAAAGAAGTCATGTGAAATTTGACGGGGAAAATATAGGTATACAGGTGAAACTCGAAAAATTAGAATATCGTGCAAAAGTTCAGTTATTTCAGTAATGCAACTTAAAAGGTGAAACTAATATATGAGATAGACTCATTACATGCAAAGCAAGATAGTTCAAGCCATGATGTGTCATAATTGAGATGACGATGGCTTACAGCTCATGAAAACCCCAACTCCACAATCTCAGAAAATTAGAATATTGTGAAAAGGTTCAATATTCTAAGCTCAAAGTGTCCCATTCTAATCAGCTAAGTAAGCCATAACACCTGCAAAGGGTTCCTGAGCCTTTAAATGGTCTCGCAGTCTGGTTCTATAGGGATCACAATCATGGGACAGACTGCTGACCTGACAGTTGTGCAGACAACCATCATTGACACCCTCCATAAGGAGGGAAAGCCTCAATAGGTAATTGCAAAAGAAGTTGGATATTCCCAAAGTGCTGTATCAAAGCACATGAATAAAAAGTTATGTGGAAGGGAAAAGTGTAGAAAAAAAGGTGCACAAGCAGCAGGGATGACCGCAGCCTGGAGAGGATTGTCAGGAAAAGGCTATTCAAAAGTGTTGGGGACTTTCACAAGGAGTGGACTGAGGCTGGAGTCAGTGCATCAAGAGTTACCACACACAGACGGATCCTGGACATGAGCCTCAAATGTTGTATTCCTCTTATCAAGCCGCTCCTGAACAACAACGTCAGAAGCATCTTACCTGAGCTAAAGAAAAACAGAACTGGTCTGTTGCTCAGTGGGCCAAAGTCCTCTTTTCTGATAAGAGCAACTTTTGCATCTCATCTGGAAACCAAGGACCAAGAGTCTAGAGGAAGAATGGGGAGACACACACTGCAAGATGCTTGAAATCCAGTGTGAAGTTTCCACAGTCTATGTTGATTTGGGGAGCCATGTCATCTGCTGGTGTTGGTCCACCGTGCTTCATTAAGTCCAGGGTCAATGCAGCCGTCTACCAGGAGATTTTGGAGCGCTTCATGCTTCCTTCCACAGACGAGCTTTATAGGGATGCTGACTTCATTTTCCAGCAGGACTTGGCACCTGCCCAAACTGCCAAAAGCACCAAAACCTGGTTCAATGATAATGGGATTACTGTGCTTGATTGGACAGCAAACTCACCTGACCTGAACCCCATAGAGAATCTATGGGGCATTGCCAAGAGAAAGATGAGAGACATGAGACCAAGCATCCTGGTCTTCCATAACACCTCAGCAGTACCACAGGCTGATAGCTTCCATGCTGCGGCACATTGAGGCAGTAATTGCTGCAAAAGGGGCCCAAGCCAAGTACTGAGTACATGCTTATGCATGCTTATACTTTTCAGAGGTCCGATATTGTTCTATGTACAATCCTTGTTTTATTGATTGCATGTAATATTCTAATTTTCTGAGATTGTGGATTTGGGGTTTTCACAATTATGACACATCATGGCTTGAACTATCTTGCTTTGCATGTAATGAGTCTATATCATATATTAGTTTCACCTTTTAAGTTGCATTACTGAAATAAATGAACTTTTGCACGATATTCTAATTTTTCAAATTTTACCTGTATATAAGGAATAGTAATAGATAAAATATATATATTGTTTTATTAGAATGCATAATTGGTCAAACAAATATAAGATGGAAAATATGACCTATGTACTGAAATGAGATTAGAGAGGGACTTGTTTTAAAATATAACAGTGGTAATGTTAGGAATGTAAGTCACCTAACAGCTATTTGGGTTGGACAATATATAAACCAGGATAAACATTTTAAAACTGTATCTTTAAGAAAATGAAAAACTGTAATCAGGTGTGGTTTCTCAAACAGCCATAAGATGGAGCCAGAAACCTGGTTTGTTTTAGTCTTAGTCTCAGAAGAGAGTGTGTCTCAGTGTATCTCTGTTTCCTTCTGTTGGAGAGTATTGCTGTTCCTCCATTTTTCCTAATTGACTGCTATTTCTGGATTTAATGTAAGTCTTATACTGAACTGTTTTTGACACTGGACTTTGTTATTGAATTATCCCTGGACTAAAAACTGACTGATTTACCTGTGAATGACTTTGGATTGCTTGTTTGGACTTTGCTTAATGTTTCTGGAAGTAAAAACCTACATTTACTGTACAGTGTATCTGTGTGTATTATTCAAACACTACTCTCAAATACGTCTCCCTGTATGCACTCATTCTCCTAACGGGGAATTACTTCAACAGGTACAATTAACATTAAAAGGGGATAAATGTTGGATAATATAACTAAATCTGTTAAACACTACAAATATGATTAATAATATATTGGTAGTAAAAAGAGATATTTAGAATATGGAGATTGATACAAAATAAGTCACTGAAATAATGAATAATTAAAGAGAGAAACTATATTGAGGTTAAATTTTATAATATTGTTAAATGTATTAAATATGGGAATACTGTCATTTTTAAAAAAATGTAAGGCATCCAGGTGTCACACTGTTTATGCAATTATATATTTGTAGATAAGAAAAATAAACTTCTTTTAAAAAAAGGAAGCTTATTAACAGTTGACAAACACCGAGTGTGGTTGGTAACAGGGCAGGGCTTTCTACCTTCACAAGGAGCATAGAATAATGACAGATGGCTAAGCTTATGTTGACTGGGGCACAGGGAAACACATGTCTCATTCTCTAAACTCACCTGCCTTTTCAGCAGATTGTGGAAAGAAGGAAATTATGATGCAATTTAAGAGAGAAGGGGCAAAGAATAATAATTGCATTTATAAGATCAGGAGCTGCTTCTTTCCATTTCCTTATTATTTTTTGTCTGATTTCTTCACTATTTTTTCTATATTTTTCTAAAATATGCATTCTTTTTATCATGTTAAGATTTTTTTAGTTAGAAAATATAAAGGAAATTGGGGTTGGGAACTGGGCAGCAAAAATGATGCAGGGTTAATTTTCTGGTGGCTCCCAAACTGTAGGGAGAGCACCTTAAATGGAAAAGAGCCCAAAGACATCAAGAATTGTATATAGCTTTGATAATGGCCTGCAATTCATAAAGCTAACTATAGATGGGAGTGTTAACATTCACTATAACCCAGCATGGGACAATCTATATGCCACCAAGCATCCCATGTACATTTGCCACTCGGTTAAAATCTGTTTTGCCACTCGGTTAAAATCTGTTATCTGAAACCTAGGTTTAAAATTCTCCAGCTGAGTTCCATGAACTCTACACATTGCCTCCACATAGTGGAGCAGTAGCAAGGAGAGCAAATACTTCTGTATAGGAAACATTTGCTTTTAGATGGCCAAGTACTGGTAACAATTTAATATGTCACAGAATTTGCCAGAGATCATATCTGAACTGGTTTGTTTTTTGATTAAAGAAATGTCCATTAATTAATCATACAAGCAATATTCAACTAAAGCAGCATTCCTACATGCGCTTGCTAGAAAATAAGTTTTCCCTAATAATTTGGGTACTTTTTCTGCAAGAACTCTTGGACTGGTCCACAACGAAGAAGAATGATGATGGTGATGATGACAATATGTGACAAGTTAAAGAACTTCCTTCTCTTCCAGTAGATAATGGAATAATATATCGAGACAAAAATAAGCAGTACCTAACAATATACCTTAACTGTGAGTATCTATTTGTTCTTCTTTTTTTAAAAAAAATTCTCCCACAGCCCCAGAAAGAGACATATGCAATTCAGAGAATCTTTCCCTGATCATGTCCAAGATTTCAGAGAAGCATTGATCAAGGATATCTTACACACAAGTGATAAGACTATAATTAGATGAGACACAGATTCTTAGACAAATAAATCATAAATATGTTGCAGATCTAACAACCTATCAGAATCAGCTAATATAGATATCTTTCTGCTAGCTTTGAGTTCAGTATTCTGTGCAGAGTTATATGCACACAAAAATACCGAACCAATAAAACGCTTTAAACTTACTGTCTGGTCTGTTCCCGGTTAGAGTAGGTGACATTAACAACTGCTGTCTCGCTGTCCGTATTCACTTGCAAATAAAAAAGAAAGAAAAATATATGTAGTTCAGTTAAAATGCCCTTTATGATTAAAATAGCTCAGAAATAGCAGCTAAATCTCCACTTTTCCAAGAATACTAAAAACATGTAATATCATCATAGGAGTCGTGGCTACTTCTGCTGACTGCTAGCAATTTGGCAATTCAAGTGTCACCAGCTCAAGATTGACTCAGGCTTCCATCCTTCCAAGGTCGGTAAAATGAGGACTCAAATTGTTGGGGCAATATGCTGACTCTATAAACCACTTCGAGCGGGTTATGAAGTACTGTGAAGCGGTATATAAGTCTAAATGCTATTGCTATTATTTAGAAATCCTTATTTTAGCTTTACATTTTAATCCAGGTACTGATTAAGAGTCATTGTTTAAGATTTAAATACAGACTATACTCCATCTTCTCATCTCAGGAATTACAGATCTCAAGAGTGCTTGCTTCATAAGTGGCTGTAAAGAATTTGATTTCCCCTTCATTGCTTGAGTTGCTGAGTATGGGGGAAAAATGAATGGTGGAGAAAACAGTGGTGTGGCAATACTCTGATCTCATATAGAGATGCTTTACAATTTAATTTTGAGAACTCCAACACAAGCTGACTATAACCTTGCCTTCTGTGCTAATGTGCAAATTGGAACTAAATTTACCCAATAACTTTTGTACTTTCAGAATGTCCAAGCATTGTTCTTGATTCCAAAACTATATTAAATGCATCTTATGGTATATCAAATGCATGTAAGGAATGCATTGGTTTAGAGAAAAACAAATACTTAAAAAAATACTAACAGCAACTGAAAAAAAATGAGGTGGAATACATTGTAAGCAAACATGCAGGATCAGATAATCAGAATCGAGCAACTACACAAAGGTATTTCCTCAAAAGTATGTATCTGTGAGTTCAGTGAAACTACTTTGCAGTAAACAAATTTAGGATTAAGTTAGAGATTTCTCCTTCAATCTGTGGTACTAAGATAGACACAGATATACACTCTATTTACCTCTGCAACAAAGTTTGCCAATTATGACCATAAGTCATGATAGGCATAAAGTGGGTCATCACATGACTTATCTAATTTTACAACCTTTTTTTACAGTGGTGATTGCGCAAACCCATTGTTTGCAATGAAGTGTTTCTGTCAAAAACTAGAAATAAATGCCTGCTTTCAGTAAAAACACAATAATGGCCCTGTGACAAAGGAATGCTCCAAACAGCCATAAATGTGGGCTGGGTGCTGAGTGCGCAAAATGTTGTCATGTTTCTGTTAGAGGGAGGAGTCCAGCCAATCAGAATTGGGTCATAAATACTTTTGGGGGGTAGGGTTCCATCTTAAGTTAAAGACTACCTCTATTTTCCAAACCTTCTCATGGAAACTTACCTTGTTCACAGTTTTCCACAGTACCATACTGAGCTAGCAAACCATCCAAGACCTATTCAGATTAAAAAAAACATACACAGTTAAAAATATGCATAAGAGAGAGAGAGAGAGAGAGAGAGAGAGAGAGAGAGAGAGAGAGAGATTAAATCATGCTTAACATACAAAGAAACACAAAACTGAAGAGATATTTTCTACTTATCCCCAAAATGCATAACAAAGAACAAAATCTAGAAATATTCAAGGCTTTCAACTGGCAATGCAAATCCAACCAATGTGATTATACATTATTACAGACCTTTCTGCTTTTGCCTTTACTTAAGCAAACAAACCCAAATGCCTTGTTCTATAACATTTGGACAGGTGAACACACTTCAATGTTGAAACAGGTTGGTTTATAAGTGATAAACATGATGAATACTCAGTTCATTGCAGCAACTGATTCCTACTTTAGATCCCATTTTAGGTTTGTTGTAATGAAGAAAATAGGGAAAGTTCACATTGAAATTACTGACATGTTTGTGCAATTAACTATATTTGGTGGGAGCCTGAAAGGGAGTCTAGGTTGATTCTTATCACATTAACACATTTCGGATTATGAGGTACTAGTCATTTCTTGTTCTAGGCAACTATTTTAAGCCCACTCTCTGAGATAGTCCATGCTCTGGTCCCTGACCCTTGGGATCGCAAAGCCTATGGGCCTCCTCTGTACCACAACTTGTCACTGTAGTACTGAAGTATTGTCTGCTGCACTATCTCTGGAATCAGTCATAAGGACAAATGACCATAGGGGCATTCCAGAGATTGTAACTTTGAAATGGGTTTGTATGTAGCTTTTGGAGTGGAGTATGTATTATAACTTTGAATATTCATTAAATGGCCTGTCATATCGCAAGGACTATCTGTATACTGTCTTGGTTTTTATAAGGCTAAACAAAAATAAGTAATTTCAGGATTTCGAATATTGGACACTATAGGGGAACTCAGTTTTTAGGAAAGATTGTTTTAACCATTCAGTCATGTCCAACTTTTGTCAATTTTACAGGCAAGTGCTCTCCATGCTAACCTATCAAGCACAACTTCTTTTAGTTGTTGGATGTTCATCTTTGTATCAGCTTTGATGCTAACAAGGCAGCATGTTCTCTGCTTGCCTCTCCTTATTCCAATAACGGTTCCTAGCATCATTTAGCTTCTTCAATGAATTTGCACCACAAGAAGTGGCCAAAGTAAATCAGATGTTGTCTTGTTATTTTGGCTTCTAAGGATGTGTCCAGTTTTATATGCTTCAGTACCTCTTTGTTGGTTGTTCTGGCTAAATCCATGGTATACACAATAATTTACATCAGCACCACAGTTCAAAGTTGTCCGTTCTTCGATTAGCCATTCTTAATGTCCAACTCTCACATCTATACATCATTATAAGGAAGACTATTGCTCCAAATAGGCTGCTTTTTATATTTATATCAATAGCTGCTATTCCAGATCTTATTCATGCTATTACAGTTCAGCCTAAGGTTATCCTGTGTTTGATTTCAAGAGTAGAATTGTCATTGGAAAACAAATTTTGATCCAAGAAAGATACGTTCTCAAACTAAATTTTCATATTGCTTCCTTGTTGATTTTAAATATTTCATGTCATCTGCAGCTGTTGTTAACCTGAAGCTCTTTGTTAACCTGAAGTTAAGGTTCAATCCTACTTTTTAACTTTTGTCCTTGATTTTTCAGAACATTTTTTTCAGGTCTTCCTTTATTTTTAGCCAAAAGTTTTGTATCATCTGCATACCTCAAATTATTTATGATTCTCCCTCCAATCTTCACTCAACATCTAGGAGTTTCAGATCTAATTGAAGCATTATCACTTCAGCATATAGATTGAACAAAAATGGTGACAAAATACATCATTGTCTAAGTCCCTTACTGATCCTGAACCAATTTGTGTTGCCACTGCATAGAGTAAGTGTTCTCACTGTTGCTTCCTGATCAGTGTATAGTGATCTGATAAGTCTGATCAGATGGATTTGGATACCAAAATCATGCAAAGTTGGCCATTGCTTATTGTGTTCTACAAAGTCATCCTGTGTTTTATTTCAGGAGTAGAATTGTCCCTCCTGTCTAATTCCTTTACTGACCCCAAACCAATCTATATCTCCCTAGAGCAAGGCTGTCAAACTCCCAGCCCAAGGGCCGGATGCGTCACATGCTGGTCATGCCTACACCTGGTTTAGCGAAGGGGGAAAAAGTTCTGATACATCACATGATGCCACTGTGATGACGTGCGTTTGACGCTCCTGCCATAGTGTTCCCCTATTGCCTCTTGATAAGTGAGCGTACAATGATATGATAGATCTGATCAGGTGGGTTGAGAACCAAGATCATGCAAAGCCAACCATAATTTATTCTGTTCTATATAGTCAAAAGCTTTTCTGTAATTGATAAAACATATATATGGATCCTTTTGATATTCATGTGCCTTTTTCATGATCCATCTAATATTGGCAATGTGATCTCAAGTGACGTGCACCTTTCTCAAGCCAACTTATGCATCAGGTAACTCTTGTTCAGTGACATTCTGTAGTCTCTGTTCAATGACCTTGGGATAGGGGAGAATGTTGGACCCTTATACAATAAAATAGCTATCAACTAGGTATTATTAGATTTATATGATGCCTTTATTTTGTATAACTTGGCAGAACTGGAAAATCTGGTTAAAAATAGACTTGTTCTGTTTTAATAGATGTCACAGCAGGAGGGCAGATGGGAAACAGAGGAAGAAGTTTCTTATATTTTGTCAGAAACACATATCTCAAAAGATACTAAAGTTCTTTGAATTACAAACCAAAACCATTCCTGGCTGTGTGTTAAGCCCACTTTCATATCATCAGACTTACCTCCCATCGAAGCTGTGGGGGGATATTTCTTATTTGAATTTTGCGGCTCCTAATTGAAAAAAAGAGAAAGAAAAGTATTTTAATTAACAGCATGTTCTATCTTGAAACTATCATTTATGTACAATACTATAGTTTCAGTATACAAGACCTGATTTACAAAAGTCCAGATGATTATTAGGTTTTATTTACTGAAGAAATGCAACATCAAAACACCAGAAATAGAAAAATAAGCCCAAAAAGAGAATTAAAGGAAGAAAAAAGACAAACTCTTGTGCACTTTTCTCAATTATATATGTTTAGGTGTATTAGATATATTAGATCCAGATATAAAATTAAACACATACCTATACAAATACAGGTAATCCTTGACTTATAACCACCTGAAGTTATAATGCCATTGAAAAAAGTGAGTTACCACATATCCTTGTACTTACAGTACAATCACTGAAACACCCCCATAGGCATGTGATTAAAATTCAGGTACTTGGCAAGTGGCGACTTCTCACAGGGTGAGAAAGCAGTTTCACTGCAAGTTCTTCTGGAGAAAAATCATTTTGGTGATCATTTAAGGGGCAAACAGTTTATACTGATATAAAAGATGAAGTATGTTATGATAGCTTATAATTGGACTTCATTGAATTAAATGAAGAATTTAATACTTTGGTAAGGAAAATATTTATTGAGCTTTTTCCTATAAAACTTGGTAAAAGTTCCTTTTTGCCAAATCCAACAAACTGAGTTTCATTGTCCTTCTCTGTTGATACAGATGGACTTTAATTAATAGCTATTCAAATCTGCTTTTATTTTATTTTATTTATTTATTTAGCAAATTTATATATCTGCCCATTTCACAAAAGTGATTTTAGGAGGCATACAGCAAAAATAAATTATCTACTATTAAAAACTATTAATCATAAATAAAGCCAGCACTGTGGGAGAATGGACAACATCCTAAACAAAATGTAACCATCCAGCAGGCTTCCTTCTTCCCATAGTATCCCAAAGTTTTCTTTTTCTACAATACATCTTTCTCCCATATTCATCAGCAATCCTGATCTCACTATCATATTATCTTAAAAAAATACAGTCCTTCAAGGAATTGCAGAAATAAAAGGGTATAAAGTAATAAAATGAAGAAAAATGGATCTCTACTTCCTCTCTCCTATTTCCTGCTTTTCATACCCAATTTTCTATCATTCATTTTCTTCTCCTCCTTGGCAAGATTATAACACCTTTTTCTTCAGTACCAAGACTGAAGACATAAATAAGAGCTAGACTGGAGGGTGAGTTAAGTAGCAAGGATTACTACATTCAAAAACTGAAGATAATCCATAAGAGACTGGTTTTCAATTTCCTAAGAAGAAACAGTTTGATCTAGCGGTTAAGGTCCTGGCTAGAAACTAGCAGACTGTGAGTTCTAGTTCTGCCTTAGGTATGAAAACCTGGCTGAATTGGATGCTTTCTCTCTCAGCCTAAACAACCTCACAGGGTTGTTGTTATGGGGAAATAGGAGAAGGAAGGAGTACTGTGTGTATTCACTGCTACAAGTTATTTATAAAAATAATAAAAACAGGAAGCCAATCAACCAACAACAAACAAACTTTCCACATTATTTAATAAAATTCTCAAGACAACTGGGTAATAAATTTGACAAAAGAAACAGAAATCCTTCCCGTTCCTTTTCTGTACCCTAAAAGCTCTGATTGCAAAAACAAAAACAAAAAAAACCCCCAAATACTCCAGGTTTGGTATTTTCAGTGTCTGTTGCATGACAGGATCTAAGTACATACCTAGTTGAAAGCAAAAAGGTTAAGTCTCTCTTTTTGTAATTCATTATAGATGTTCACAGGTGCTGGGGAATCCCTATCCAGCTCACATTTTGTGGGATAGAAAAGCTGCAATAATCCATCCATACTGCAAATCATGTACTGCAGAGTATGATTAAGTATGCCCATATATTCAACATGTAAAGTTATTCTAAGTCTCTATAACTAGAGGTAGCCATGTGACTTGGGCAGCTAGACAGTGCTTGGATTTAGCTGTTTTCATTCAGGCCATTTATATTTTGTTTTTGCCTATTCTCAGTTGCAATGCAGTGCATTGTGCCAGAAAGCACATGAGTCAAGAGAGAAAAGTACAAGAGAAAAAGCAGCAGTAACTGATTAGAAGAATGGACATATGAACAAGTGGGCAGATGCTTCCCTGATGTTTCAGGAGGAGAAATTCACTTACAAGCAAACAATAAGCATTCAAGGCTTGAAATTGTGTATATATAGTGTGTGAGTATGTGTAAAATATGTTCCAAACTGGAAGATGACAGATATTCTACTGCCCAAACCAAGCTTTTTATCAGAGATATTTGCTTCTATTATTGATTTTCTGTTTAATTGTGATTTTATTATCACCCTGAAAAATGGCTTGGAATTTTTTAAAACAGAAAATGAGGCAGATTATTCAATTTTCATGTAGGACAGCCAAATTTGGGGATGTGAACAATGAGTTTTGTCTTTGATCACTATATGAAGATTCATGATTTCAAGGTTTAAATGTCTTTTTTAAGTTTCTAGAAATTTACTTCATAAATAAAAATGGTTCATATTTAGTCCAACTGAGTGTAATCGTGGCAGGGTCTAAGTCAGACATGCATAACACACTAAGTAAATGGCTCTCATGGGTCCAGGCAACCTATATCAATCCATATTTGATATACACCATAAAAGAAACATTTTTTGATAGCAACAACAAGTAAGGGTACAAACTTCATTTTTTAACCATTTCAAACACAAAATTTCACAAAGCTTTCCACTTTAAATACAAAAATATTATTCAAAGCCCAAAATTGGCATTTCAAGTTAGGTAAAGGTTCCCCTCGCGCATGCATGCTAGTCGTTTCCGGCTCTAGGGGGCAGTGTTTATCTCCGTTACAAAGCCAAAGAGCCAGCGCTGTCCAAAGACATCTCCATGGTCATGTGGCTGGCATGACTAAACACCGAAGGCACACGGAATGCTGTTACCTTCCCACCAAAGTGGTCCCTATTTTTTACTTGCATTTTTTACACACTTTTGAACTGCTAGGTTGGCAGAAGCTGGGACATGTAACAGGACTCTGTTACACGGTGCTAGGGATTTGAACCGCTGAACTGCCGACCTTTTTATCGACAAGCTCAGGGTCTTAGTCACTGAGCCAGTTGTCCTATGTGAAATTCCAGTTTTTGAAATCCCCTATGTAACTAATGGCTACAATAGCTTTGACTGGAAAAATATGCCAACATCTGATCAACCAACTAGTTCTGGAGACCCAGCAGGGGGAAACTGTAACTTGGTGGGTCTGTGAGTAGCATCTCATATCCTAGACCTAGACCAGTGATGGCTAACCTATGACACGCGTGTCACTCGTGACACGCCGAGGCACTTTGACTGACACGCCTGTTGGTGTGGGGAAAACCTGCACATTTAGATGCTGCCTGTGCTCTGCTCCAAACCCTGCTCCCTGCTTGTTGCGTGGAGGTGTGGTGTCACCGCTGCCGCAAGATCTTTGCAGCAGAGAACCAGTTTTAACCGCCATAAGCTGAGGTTTGTCAGTTTCATTACCTCAGGAACACTACAGGAGGAAAGGAGATCCATGAGGTTCACAGCCCTGTAAGGTGGCCTTCCGATCCCCAAATCCTGCACCTGCAGCCCTGAGACCGGGGAGACGAGTTTCACAGCCCTGTGTGATCACCCCAGCCCAGTCCATCATAAACCAAATTATTGATATTTCTTGAAGTGACACACGACCCGAGGAAGGCTACACTTTTTCCCGATTTTCGACACACCAAGCTGAAAAGGTTAGCCATCACTGACCTAGACCAAGAAGAGCTTTTCAAGATTTAATGGGGATCCGAAGAATGCTTTTCAAGATTTAATGGGGATCCGAAGACTTGCTTGCAAGAGTACTCTTCTCTTTGCCACACAAGTATATGACTTATGGTGCTTTTGAAAAATGTCTGCTTGCCCATAAGTTAACCACGTCGATGTGACCATGCAAAGGCAGGAAGTTTCAAGAATTCCAACCTGAGATCAATAGTTCAAAATGCAGACTAGGGACAAAAATTAAACTGATGGATCCAAAAAGAAAAAAAAACCCTGACCAGGGCTCCTGGTGCTAACACTAAATTTCCAAGGATATTACCTGCAAAAAGTCACAGAAACAAAGTAAGAAAAGCATGCAATGGCCGCCGAAGCCAAAAAAAGGGGCTGCAATGCCTAATACAAACAAGACAAATGGCACAGGAGAGAGAGACCTAAATAAGGCACTGACTCTCGCCCCCAGCCCAGGCCACATGGGCTCTCAGGGGCACCTCCGATCACAATCCGACCAACAAACAACAAAAAATCAGTTTAAATAAAGTTTAAAAATTAATCAAAGACTTCAAAAAAAACGAAATAAAAAAGGCACGAAAATTAAAAAAAAAAAAAAAGGCTAAACTGGCAAGCCAGCTAGCTGTCAAACCTGTTCTAAGTTTTTAACGAAAACAACCTCTATCCAGAGGGTGAATATTCTTCAACAATTCAAACAATTCAGAGTCCATTTAAGGGTGGTCTGAACACTCTGAGACCGAGTGAAGAACTAGGGACCATTACCAAGGGGTGGGGTGTCCTCAGTTTTTCAACTCGGTCTGCAGAGCTACAAGACTAGAGACTACCCATCCTGGATTCTCCTTTTGGCTCAGTGGAGAACAACAACAAACCACAGTTCAATTGCCTCTTCCAAAAAGATGCACCAGGGATTGTTTTCTGGACTTTTTTCCTTTCCTGCACTCTTGTTAGATGGGGCGTTGGTACTTACCTGACACGCCCTTTCTCTGTGAGCTGTGAAGAGCATCTGTTGATTGGGAGATGCTTCTGTCACTCGTCTGATAGACTGGGCTTTAATTGTGAGGATGCTCCTCCTCCTCCAAGGGACTCCTCCCTAGCGTCCCCAGTTTTGGCAAAGTTGAAGTGATGAAAACCTTTCTTCTCTTTCACCCTTTCTAATACTTGGCCGGAATAGCATCCCATCAGACGAAT